GCGGAGCGAGCAGGCACATCAAATATCGTACGGAAGGAGGCAACAAAACTGGCAAAACTCGTGAATCACAGGGTTATCGTTCTCCCATAAGTGATTTGCCCAGGCCATGCCTTGTCTGAGAGCAGCGATATTAGGAAGCCCACCTTTGAGCTCTCCGTAGGAAAAGCGTGGGGTATCAATTCAAAATATATGCCCACTTGGTTAAGGAAACCCCGACACTGACTCGGCTCACTCCCCAAATCGCTGTGGAAGGGGGGCTAAACTAGTCATACCTCTGGGCACCGCAGGTGTGGCAGCAGATGCGGAGGTAGGCGCAACAACCGGAGCAACAGCGGGAGCGACTACAGGAGTGATAACCGGCCTAATAGCACCAGGAGTAAGGTGTGCTGTGCATGCAAGCAGCGTCTGCAATGCCTGGGCGAACTGATCCAACAAGAGATCCTGCTGATCAAGTCTGGCAACCAACATAGGGAGCGAGGGCGTACCTGCACGTCAGGATTCATGGCATTTGTGTAGTGTCAGGGAGCAAGGAGCCAGACGCACAAGGAGGTGCAGTTAAAGGTAGGTTTATTAATTAAAAATAAGACAAGAATCTAGGCAAGTCCAACAGCGGAAATCTTAGCCAAAGCCGGGATCAAGAGCCAGGAAGAATCGTCACCAGAGCCGGGATCAGGAGCCAGGAAGAATCGTCACCAGAGCCGGGATCAGGAGCCAGGAAGAATCGTCACCAGAGCCGGGATCAGGAGCCAGGAAGAATCGTCACCAGAGCCGGGATCAGGAGCCAGGAAGAATGGTCACCAGAGTCGGGGTCAGAAGCCAGGAGGAGTCTTAGCCAAAGCCGAGTCGGTATCCAGGAAAGCAATGAGTAGCTAAACAGGAGCTTGCTGCTGTGCAATAGACAGGACACTAATGCAATGGACAGCTACAAACAGCAGACTTATATGTGATAAGTCGCCACCTCCTGGGGGAGGAGCCGCAGAGGGCTGAAAGCATAAAGGATCCCACAATGCTTTGCAGACACCTAAGATGGATGCCAGCACATGGAGCAGCATAAGCCCTGAGGAAAGGTAGGACCTTGACACTTAGACCATAGTATATGCTCCTGGTTAGAAAACTGGTTACAGGAGCGCATGCAAAGCGTAGTTTTAAATAGCGAGTACTCAAAGTGGTCTGGAGTGGAGTACGCCAGGGCTCTGTCCTGGGACCTATTCTGTTTAATGTATTCATAAATGATATAGAGGTCGGTATAAAATAGCTCAATCTTAGCGTTTGCTGACGATACAAAGCTAAGCAGGGCAATAACTTCACAGCGGGATACAGAAGCCTTACAAGCAGACCTCAATAAAATCATGGTGTTGGCAACTACATAGCAAATGGTTTTATTTTGAAAAATAATGTATTTTGAATAAGTAATGCATTTAGTGGCCAAAAATATCAATGCAAATTACTCGCTAGGAGGAGAGCCATTGGGGGGAATCAAGGATGGAAAAGGATCTGGGGGTCTTAGTAGATCAGAGGCTCAGCAATGTCATGCACTGACAAGCTACAGCAAGCAAAGCTAGCACAATATTAGCATGATTAAAAAGGGGGATTTACTCAAGAGATAAAACTATAACTCTGCCACTTTACAAAACTCTGAATCGCCCACATCTCCAGAGAAGGGCAACAAAGCTAATAAGGGGGCTGGAGCACCTCAGTTATGAGAAACTACTACAAACATTAAACTTATTCTCCCTGGAGAAGAGACGCTTTAGAGGCGATATGATAACAATATACAAGTATCTCAATGGTGATCCCAACATAGGAAGAAAACTATAAAGTTTTTTTTACCTTCACACATAGAATGCATGAAGATAAAAAACCTTGAGCCTTTACAACCACTTTAAACTTAGAAACTCAGACAGAATAATTTTCAAGGCCATCATCCTCATTGGAAGAGTGTGGCTGAAAAGTACTGGGGTCATGAATATTTCCTACAACATCCTACTTCTGCAAAACCCCCCCCCCCCCCCCCCCGTAGACGTCTATGCAGGGGAGTCATATCAGTCAGAAGTAATGTGAAAGAGTGAAAAGGTGGATGCTAACTGCTTTAGCTGAAATAAGGCTTTGCTACAGCTAGTGGTGGATTCCTGTTTAGGCAAACTACCACTACAATATCAACATAAAGGCTTACTCCAAAGGATTCCAAACCTAAAGCCATAGACTGTACCTTTCTTCCTGGAAACATTACCCTTAGACTTTTCATGGGCCTTGGCCTGTAAAAGTTAGCTTACATTATTAGAGGTGTATCCTCCCCCTCCTTTCGACACACTGCATTCAAGAAAAGAGAGCTCCATAGTGCTCTGCCACCATAAGCCCAACACCAAAGGTCCCCAGGTGACACCAGGTAGTGCAAACAAGGATAGACACACAGACAAGAAAGCAGACAAAATTCTACCTAACCTGTGAAAGTGTTGGTGCCAGAATCCTTAAGAGCTTATGGTTTCAAAGAGGGATCCATACATCATCCAAGCTACCTCCTTAAGTGGCGTCTTTGCAAATTCTGCTAGGAAGAACGGCCATGAAGATGCCAACAGGCCTCCCCCCATGCCAAAAACAAGGCTTGGAATCAATAGCCTCTGGCTCTCTAATATAGTGTCACCCCATCCAGAAGTGACACCCAGGATCGTCCAAACGGGACCCATAAATCCCTAATCCCCTGAAACTCTAGGAGCAGAAGCACTCCTCCTCAAACAAACAATTCTAAAAAGCATCCTAGCCACGGGCAACAAATGCAGTCAACAGATGCCTGAACGGAATGCACCACCCATGACGGTTCCTTTCAAAGGATTATGCAATTTTCAGAAATGGCCTTGCCAGGCACAGAATGGAGAAAGAGCAGCAGGCCAGTTTCTGCCTACAAGGGGTCCTGGAGTGCAGTCGAGAAACCTTTCACCACTGTTCTCCCGGGTTTAGTAGGTGCAAAGTGGGCCCAAAGGGCATACTACAGACAGACTCCCCTCACCTAGATTCCATTAGCAATGCATCACTTCCAGGAGGAAACATTAAACAAGAGTGCACCTAGAGGACCTCCCCTTAACATTTGACATAGCAGTGTGTTTTCTGTTCTAAAAGACAACTGGAGAAAATAGGATTTTTGACTAACCAGTAAAGACCATTTCCAGGAGTACAATACAGCACACAGATCCCACCCCTCTGTTCTTATGAGCTCCCTATGGCTATCTGGGAGTAGAAAGATTACATGGGGAATCTCCCAGCAGCTAGTTTCCAATAACCTGAAGGTAACTGCACATAACCCAGTTGTAATGATTGAGCAGTACAACATGATGGCCACACCATAACAGTAAGATTTTTTTAGATGGACTTCACTGGCAGGCTCAACAGGTATCATGTGGAGCTTGCAAGGAGACTAAAAAAGCCTATAAGTGCAGAAGCACTGTTATTTAAGCACATATTTTATAAAGGGATGACAGAATTCTACTAAAAAGAAGGAGATGGCCAAGATCAAATATTACATGACCAGCAGAAGACTGCAGGATGTAAGCTGTGTTATTAACTACACTACGAATTTGAAAGTAGTAGATTCTGTTTATCATAAATACACGATTAATCCATTTTACTACAATGAATGAGAAAAGAAGCTTATTATTTTAGAATGTTATTTGTGATGTAAAGTGTACTTTAAAGAGGAACACTTGCTATCAAAAATAACATTTTTAAATCTTAAAGAATAGGTTTACCCAACATATTCCTGGAATGTACATGCTGAAGCATGTACTTGTATGAAAAAGTATCCTGTTCTCTTGTATTGCTTCCTTTGTTGGAAATCCTTGGTATCCCTGCCAGTGTCCCTGCTTTCCTCCTAAAAACTGACCAATCTAGGCATGGGAGCACAGCGTGGTCAGTTTTCTGGCTGTGATAGGAGCTATACCAATGATCAGGCTTGTGCTGCTGTTGTTTCTCCACCCCCAGCTCTCTAAGCTCCTGATGCAGCTGAGAACAGAGGGCATGTGATATAAAGGGGGAGGGGTATCTATAATTGTTTTTGTATGTATACATAAATGTTTTGCCTTTCATTTCTATTTTAAACTGAATACGTTGTTTCTGCGCATACACAAGATCCCGTCATCTGCCTCCTGGGATGAGTGATGTAGAAATTCCAGGAGACAGTTTGTAGGACCACTTGCATGTGCAGAAACACAGCAATAGATCCCACAGTGACCCATGGCATTCCTGCGCATTTGCAAGGTTCAAGTACATCATCCATGCCTAGGCTAGAATGATGGACCTGAACTTTGTGGAAAAAATTACTTACAAAAAATGTTTCTTTTGCAATTCTAGGGAGGGGAGAGGAGAGCAACATTAAAAAGGTTAGTTCTGCTTTAAGTAACACTTTTATTATCTAAAAATATATTACACATAATAAAACAGGTGAAGCACAGTTATATGTATGTTATATTTATAAGGTATTGTTTCCATATTCCACTAGCAATCAAATTTACATGTGATGTCAAATGAAATCGCAAAAGTTTAATCTCATTCCAGTGTGGAGTAAACAGTTTCAAGAACACAGAGGTACATTTTTGGGTGGAGAATGTTTCCTAAATACCAGACAGATTTCTGCCCTTATTCAACAAGAATCTGAAGTACACGTTTTCTATATGCAGGAATATATAAATACAGTCTACTTGGCTGGTTTCTTATGCAGCAAAAAAACCCAAAAGATTATACATGTATATATAAAAATTCAGTGTTTGGACACTTGACTATCACCAACTAATTCCCATGAACTGTGCACATTTCCAGTATGTAAACTCTCCACGGATGGCCTAGAATGAAAATATATGTAGACCTACTAAGGCAATTTGTATTGCAAAAACACTTGTAAACAATTGGAATTTCTGTGGGATTGTACTACACTTGTGCTTTGATGAAATGGAATCAATACTTTTTCCTGTTGACAATGACTTTTTTGGTGTTAACTTCAGATCATGTGTACTCTACAAAGATTTTATGGGGCTTGTTGATTTAGGAGAGTCACTTGTTTCTTCTGGCGGTATCAATGGGAATTCTAACTTTTCATACATTGCTTCCATCACAGGTAAATACTGAGAGATCTCATTGGGCTCTGTGAAAAGAGGAGGGGGCACATGGCTAAGGTTGCTGATTTTGCTCTCCCTGGATGTGTATTCTCTCAGCATGTACGTTTTGTCACTTTCATGATAAAGTCGTGTGTCATTCATTCGGATGAGGACACCATCTACTCTAAGGAAGAATCTAAGAAGGAGGAAAAAACTGGAAGGCATGACTCTGATTTTAACGCTCAAGCCAGATACTCCGTGATCATGGAGCTCATCTTCAAACAACAAAACCTCCTCGAAAAACATGATTTGTTCTCTTGTCTTCAATTTTTCTGTGTTAATTCGTTCAGTTGTCGTGACAACATTGAACTTCAGGTCATTACCTAGCAATGTTCCTTTATAGTCAGTTGTGTAAGTCCAGTCATAGGGCTTTACAATTTCTTTGCTATGCTCGTTGTCTGACCTGCTCTCTTGCCACTCTTCAGCACAAGCTACCTTTACGGCTCCCTCCTTCTTATTGACTCTTTTAAGAGCATCTTTAGCATTAAATTCTATACCAAAGCCAGAGGAGTGTGTTGAATTCTTAGGACATTGTCGCCAAACATCATCTCAGGGAAGACAGGGCATGTGCATTTCTTCAGCCAGTTTTTCCACATCAGCTGATTTCATAATATGAGTCTTGATAGCTGTGAGCTTCCATGGTCCAAAGCTAAAGTCTTGATTACTGCTTTTAAAGCCGTGAATCATCATAGCTAGCACCAATGAAATTCTGAAAACGGAACACAAATAATAAATAGGTCAGTAGACTACATTATCAATAAAATAAATTTAACAAAACATACACCTTGTGCTATGTGCTGGCCACAAGAGACAATTGCATGCTGAATGTACAGACAGTGCTGTTGATCAGACTGAAAATTCATATAACTAGCCAGGAGAGAATTCCTGGTTAAACAGAAAGAGACCTGACTGAATGTCTGCTGCTAATGCTCCCTGCTTTACATGTATGACAAGACAGACTCTCAGGCAGCAAAAGTACAAAAAGAGCTATGGATACGCTACACCTTTATATATCAATAAATGGCAGCAGTTCTCTATCTACGAATATCGCTCTGTACTTCCCCCATCCACATACAGCATGATCAGACTAGGCAAATCTGTTTCCAACATAATGGATACTGCAGCCATAATGGAGTTAAGGAAATATAACTTGCAGAAGACACTGTGATTAATAGCTGATGCTGTGTTGCTCAAAGAGCTAAATAGGAAGTGATTAGCAATGCATAGCATAGCAAATTAGGCAATATTCAAAAATCAAACTGCTAATAGAAATGCTTCACAAAAAGTGCCAATGTACTCTTAATAAATAGAAGCCTACCCCATGAATACAATTTAGTGTATAACCCCCAGAGGCTGAAGGAAAGAAAATTGTTTGATTCCCCCATCAACACAATCGGTATTGATGGAAGAATACCTCCCCCTGAACTACTGTATTCTAACAGCAGGAGCCATCAGAATACAATGATCACTGCTGGCAGCTATAGCAGCCGTAAGTGATTGAACCTAAAAAAATTCTGACAGGCTGGTTGTACAGAAGTTGAGATAGCTAGATAGATCAACTTCAGTACAACCAGCCTGTCCATAGATGAATCAAAATTCGGCTTGTTCTTGCTGACCTGGCTGAATTTAAATTTGTGTATGCCCAGCTTTAGAGTTCAAAAAGGGACAATAAGCCCGCAGTAAAGAATACCTTGTATTTTCACATACAAACTGAACCTGTATACCACTAAAGTGAACCTGTGCCTTAACTACTGTACATATTTTGAAAGAGCAGTAAAAGCACTTCAAAACAAGCCACCATTCTCTGTAGCTATAGGCACTCTGGAGAAATTAAAAGGCATTGAAACCTTACCTCTTTTCTTATTACTTTACACTGAAACAAAATCAGGACAGCCTGCCTGCCCTCTGATATAAAAACAAAGCAGGCGTTTCTAAGATGTTTGAAAAAAAAGCAAACACCACTTTAGAGTGTTTGTTTTGATCTCTGAGAGAGAATTGCCTCATAATACATGTAGCTAAAGAGATCAGGGATGGCTTGAGCTAAACATTGTTTACTGCTTGTTAAGAAAATGTAAATGCTTTATGTCCATAGTATGAGCACAGGCGCACTTTAAACAAAAAGTGCAAGAGCATGACACCATAGTGAGGATCAGAAGAATATGCAATTGTGTTTGAGATCAGTAGAAAATTATTTCTGAGAGTGTTAAAGATGAAGAAGAAAGTCTAGCTCTGTTTTATGCACTTTTTCCCTCCTACTGTAATACACAAAGATCAAGCAGAGAGAGAAGATGGGAAATCTACTTTCCCAACCTCAAAGCTCTCTCATCATAGCTTATAGATCTCATTTCTCTTCACCCAGATTAGGCAAAGATTATGCTATCAACCTCTCCACCTGGCGGCACTTAGGCAAATGCCTAGTCTGGTCATACCAATAAAATGTTCTTGAAGTTAATTAGTGGTGGTAATGCAAAGGATAGTTATGAGTTCTAGGGCATAGATTTTGGGACGATCTGTACAGGCCTTGCTTTACTCAAGCCAAACCCCATTAAAAGAGAAGTATAGCCAAAGTATACTTCTCTTTTGGGTCACAGGAGTGCACTTACTTTTGCTCTCCTGTGACCTAGTGTTAGCGGATAGCATGGTAAAGCTGTCAGCTGACATCACAGAGTCTCTCCAAGCTCTCGACCATATTGCTGGGATCCACCCAACTGCCTGAGTGACAACTGGCTTTGGCTTTTAGGCTTAGAGCTGGCTTCAGAATCACAATGATGCTGCCGCATCCAGGTGCGTATGTGTGTTTGTTATTCTAATTACCGCAAACTTCTTTAAGGCTGAGGTTACAGTTTTCCACTGCGTCGCATTCTGAATGCGAGCCCAAAGCACTAAGGCAATGATGCTCCAATGCAAATTCGCACCACAATGCACAGTAACGCACTACCCGTGCACTGTGATGCATTCTGTTGCCAAAAATGGTGCATGCCCAGTGTTCAGGATATTTGGTGCATTTCCAACCCATTCGTTTAAATAGGCTGTCTTAACACAACATACTTGGCAAAAATTATCCCCAATCCATTCAAGCCTCTATGGAGTAGGACTTAAGAGTCAACAAGAAAGCACAACTTTACTGGGTCAAGGAGAATCACTATCCTGATTTGTCCTGGGACAGGAAGTGGTAAAGAACTCAGATTTTTGGTTTGACACCAGAACAGGAATACAGAGGAACTCTTCCAGTGGCAACACAACTGTCCAAGTTCTTGTTAACATGTGGTGTGATGTTTTTTTTATTGGCCCACTAAAAAGCTGTAAGAGGTAGATCACTTTTCAGAAGAATTTAGCAGGCAGCTCATAGGCTATATGTCGCCTCCTGAAAGCTTGTTTTAACCAGTTAACCTTTGAACTTTTTAAACCCTTCATGACAAAGGAATTTTTTGCTATTCAGCACTGCGCTACTTGCACTGTTTTTTATTTTTTTATGATATAAATGAAAAAAGACCGAAAAATTTTTAAAAAAATTTTTTTTCTAGTCTACTTTCTGTTCTAAAACATATATACAATAAACAAAATAAAAATGTATTAAAAAATGCAGTCTAAAATGTATTTCTGCTATATGACTTTGGTAAAAAAAAATCCAATGAATGTATAATAATTGGCTTGTGTGAAAGTTATAGTATCTACAAACTACAGTATATATACTGGAATTTACACAGCTATGACGCTATACTGGTAGTGATGGTGATCAGCAACACATACTGTAGTGGGGACTGTGACAGTGTGGAGGGCAACCTGGTGCTGGCTGACACTGACACAGTTGTTACTGCTAATACTGTACACTTTCACTGTACTAAGGAGACTGGTTGGAGGGGTTAACATCTAGGGGCAATCAAAGGGTTAACTGTATGACTATGCTGAGTGGGAAGGGGTTAACCAGAGAAAGCCTGCAGTGCCATGGGCTTTATTACATAAAGGAGGGCCCCATTTCCTTGAAAATGTCATGTTTGGCAGCAGCGCTGCCTGCCAAACGCAACACACTGTAGAATTTTTGCCACAACACGAAGCAAGCATCACAGTTGTGGCAATATGTACTACCCTCTCTAGCCGCCAATGCACATTTTGAGCAGACAGTAGAAACACAGGAGTCACCTATTACAGCCCCCCTCCCCCCGCCAGGTGCCTGTATGAGTGAGGCCTAAGAGGGGATTTCTAGAACTTTGGAGTGATTTCTTCTCACTTTCTGTTCTGTCTACAGGACAGGAAGTGAAGGCATATCTCTGGAAGGGAACTCAGTTGCAGAAAAAAATGCCTGTTAGATACTTTAACTATTACTCATTTTACCTAAAAAAAAAAAAAGTTTGGGCTTTAGATACACTTTAACCTTTTTACGTTACACACATTCCCAGAGGCTGCATGTTTCCCAGGCTTTGCACACCCATTTGTGGACCCAGGAAGGGCATGCCAGGTGCCCCTGGGTTAAGGGAAAGGAGATCAGCAAACATTTTTTCACTTATCTCCCATTCCTGCTAATGACCCAGAAGCGAAATGTAAAACATCACTTTTGGGTCCTGGCGTTACCATACTGGCTGGGGAATAAACAAAAGAAGTGCAATCTGCACTCTGTTAGTTTCGCTGAAGGATAGGCAAGACATCAGGGTCTTTTAAACCCCCTGATGTCTCATTAAAGAGACCCTGTCACCAACAAAATACTTCACACACTACTGAAATGTGATGAAAAAAAAAAAAGGTTACTAAAAACAAAGCATTTATAAATCAGTATTAAACCCAAAAGCAAACATTTATTATATTACAGCTTACCAATCTGTAAATGTGATGGCTGCATTGGTTCTCATTTTTAGGCTTTCTTTCCCTTATTTTCATTTGGCAATCCAGCCAGCAAGCCTGCAGTTTTGTAAAAACTCGGACTCTCCAGCAGAGTGGTGTCTCACTAATACAGGAGGTGTGTGTGACTGGCCAGATCACCAGGTGAAACAGAGGGGAAAAAAATACCAAATAAAAGAAAACAGATGCAGCCACCACATTTTGATGATTGTTAAGATGCAATAAATTACAATTTTGGGTTTGATACCGATTTAAAAAGTGGACAAAAATAGTTACTGTACACCCAAGCACCTGAAACCACTCCCAAAAAACTGCTGAGCCTCCCCACATGCACAACTGTAAATGCAAATGGCGGGGGGTGCCTACACACAAAAACACTGATTACACTACACATTACATATCTACATGCATGCTGGAGTGAGAGCAGTAATTCTAGGCCCATTATTCATGGTTACAAACCCTAAACTGATGACCTGTAGGGGTTGCCAATGGAAAATATAGGGTACTGAAGTTTGTCACCATTTAAAAGAGAAGTTTGTTTTCCCACCCCCCATAATTATACTTACCAAGGTGGATGAAGCATTAATCCGATGCAGCATCTGTCACCCACCAGTGGGCTCTAAGTGTGTGAACTCAGCGATCACAAGACGGCTGATTGCTGAGTTCTCACCACTGCTGTGAGCAGAGAGCGGCGACTGTCAGTCACTGCTTTCTGCTCTGCTCCCCCCCCACTCACTGGAGCACTGGGCTGTGGAAGGGGGGGTGGCTGGCTCAGGCTCTCAACAGATCGCTGAGAAGCTGAGCCAGTAGCCACTCCAGACTCTGGGGTGGATCCCCACTTTAAAGTCAGGATCTTT